TTGTGAATGACCAAAACTTAACTATTAAGTATTATCTTCTTCCACAACCCCAGAAATTTAAAGACAAACAAACAACAAACCAAGGCTCCCTTTGTATACGAGGGGTTTCCAAAGTAACATTTATTTACCTGAACAGCAGAAATGCTTATAGCCCCATCAACAACTCCAGGTCGAAGTCCTAAGCCCTGAAACATAAATATTGCATAATGAAGTCTTCATTCCAGAAACATTTGGAGGCAAGCAACATGGAAACAGTCGGACTAATTTGAAAAGATTTGAGAATTTAGTAAATACCTGGCCCATATCACCAAGTAACAAATCGCCCTCAACCTCATTTTGCAAAGCAACATCTACGAATCAAAACCATCACAATGAAGGAAGGGAACCTTAAAATACATACATTATAAATGTTTCAGGAAATTAATTTAAAGAACTTACTCAGCATTGAAGGAGAAATGTCTAAACCAATCCATTGGTGACCATTCTCAGTTATTGTCTCCCCACTAAGCCCTGATCCACACCCTAAAATAACATCAAAATATTCCAAATTAAATATTCAAAATATCTTGTTGCTTTATTTTATTTTTCGTTTGAGAATAGAATTAAATGTACATACCGATATCAAGGAGCAGCCTGGGGATTCCGTCATCAGGCAAGGCGAGAAGCTCCAGTGCTCTCTCAGAAAGCTTTGCCTATTTTTTCCCCAACAAATGCCAAATTTTAGTACTTTTTAATTCCAACTGCTAATATAATACTACAGAAAATAAAAGGAAAAATAATATATTTTCGACTGAACCTGTATTTCAGCAATACGGGAAGAGGAAGTGTATTTCCGAGCTTCCGAATCATCGTAGAAAATCTCCGGCGGGGCTTGCAACTCAGGCCGACTCGACATCCTATTCACTCAAATTCTCCTTTTTTGTACGAGGAAATTTCCGTGCAGATCGAGAGGATGTAAAGAGAAAAGTAGAGGGTGAAACGGAGTATTAATCAAAGGCTAGAGGCAGCAACTCCGGCAACGGCGGTAGCCACGCGAGAGAGTGAAAAAGGGCGGCGCGAGGGTTAAACACGAAGAAGATGAGAACAACCTCTTCCGAGGGCTTAAACCTTAAACCCAAAATTAGTTACCTTTTTAAAGTTGAAGGTTATTTTTTCCCATGTATCCCCAAGTTATAATTTAAATTCTAAATTAGTCTCAAATTTTAAGATATTCTAATTGAATACTCAAAACATCGAATTGTATCAATTATTCTCTATAGAGGTGCGTCTGTAAGGATTTGTACATTGTCAATTATTAAAAAAATTGAACATGTATTATTTTGTTAAAAATTGTGCCCTAAAGAGAGGTAAATAAAAGAATAACGTTGTTATTGAAGGGATTATTTGTATCTTCTAAAGGAGAAGAATTATTTGGGAGGGGAAATATAGATAAAAGTTTTCAAGTTTTGGCCTTCTTTTTACGGATGGCCATTGGTAGGTTTTTTTGTCAATCCGACTCGACTCGAAAATAGTATCTTCTACTTGAATCTAACCCGATTTGGAAATTTTATATCATTCGTCCGATTCGACCAAACTCGAAAAATATACATCTTCTACCTGACTTCGACCCAATTTTTTAGAGTATAAATCTGACCCGACCAGACCTGGTAAAAAATAAGGAACTAATTAAAAAATAATAAAAATTTTAAGTAAAATACATCATTATCCTTGGGTTGGTTCGGGTTAGAGTTTTTTCACCCTCCACTCAAACCTGACCCGACCCAACCTCACCTTTAAAAAAAGTTTACCCAAATCGACCCGAACTTAATTTTTTTAAAAAAAAATTGACCCTATCGGGTCGGGTCGAAAGTCGTCGGATTAGGGTTAAATTGTCATCCATACTCCTTTTATCTATCGTAGATTTTAATTCCTCAAACCAACCAAGTCCATGTACTGAAATTATTTTTTTATTAAATTCTAATAAGTACGAGATAGTGTCTATTCAAAGATAATTCTTAATCATTTTACATTAAACGCTCACACTTCTGACATTCCTGATGCTCGAACTGGTAACCTCAACAGGAGCATAACTAGAAATTTATTATAATAGGGATAAAATATTTTTTTTATTTTCTATAAATACAATTTTTTAATTGAGTGAGACCTAATAAATTTTTGGGTTAACTACATAGATGATCACTTATTTTTGTGTCTTGTCCACTTTTGGTCATTGATTTTAAAAAACATAAGATACAGTCACTTTCATTTTTATTTAATTAAGATATGATCACTTTCGTTTTTATTTAATTAAAATGTGGTCAACCCGAGTTAATTGTCGTTAACAATAGTTAAATATTTTGATATAATCACACATTTGGTCCATGTTATTTACATGTTCTCTCAATTTAGTCAACTTCTAATAAATTAAAATAAATTTAATCATCCAATCGAATGATGTCACATGTCATGCCACATAAGAGTATTCAAAAATACATAATCCGATTGACCTGACCCTTCGACCCAGTTAAAAAATATCGGATATTTATAATAAAAATACCCGATTTTCCAGGTCGTGTACTTGGCCTGCTATTTTTTCGGGTTTATGGGTCGAGCATGGGTCACAAAATGTCGATTAACCGGCTACCCAAACCGGTACCCGATTTATTATATATATTTTTCTCATTTTATTTTATATTAATTTTTTTATTCTAAGAGGGGAAAAGGTAAAGATTATAAGTAAAGATTATAAGTAAATATGGTTCATTCAAATTAGGGTTTGACTAGCTGTGAGATTTGCAACCGATCTGTGATCGTCTTAATTTGTCTAATGGTTGAAGGTCGTTCGCCACCACTTTTACACGAGTTTGGTTTAATTGTTTATAAAATAAAAATGAAAAATGAAAAAAATATATAATAAATCAAGTATCTGGTCGGTGGTACTCGATTAACTATTATTTTGTGACCAAGGCTCAACCCAAAAACTCGAAAAAAATAGCGGGTCGGGCTCTTCACACGATTAGAGTCTATGGTGGTTGTTTTCACTGAGTACAACCGAACACCCTTAAGTTTGGTCCTCATCTTCACCGAGATCATGGTCGGATTTGAGAGAAGATTACACATGGTGGGATTCTAATGATGATGACTAATAAAGTAAAAAAAACAATATGAAATAATGAACACGCACAAAAGTTAAGTTGCAAGAAAAGGAAACATATTAAGACTAAATCGCATGAATGGAGAAATTTAAGCTAAATTTGTTAACTAATTACAAATTATGGATCACTTTGAATTAATCAAGAAATCAAGGCTAAGTTTATAAATCAATTAAGGACTAATTTAAATTTAGTCATACTTATACACCATTTTCCAAAATTAGAGTACTAAATAGTGAATTTACAAAACAGTGAGAATACTGAAGTTGGCGACGATCTCGTTCCAAGCGTCGGAGGGATGGACACCATCCCAAAATAAATGTTGTGTCGGGGTACTACACGGCGATGAATTACGAACACAAAGCTCTCCGTCACCGGCACCGGTTTTGCAGCACGAGCTATTCGTCACTGAAAGCCCCCCCGACAACATGCAACCAAAATGTAACACCACCTTTAATCAATAAGGTTTAGTCTTTTTACCAACGAAAGCTTTCCGTCGGAATTAACCATTTTTTTAGGTAAATTATGTATTTAATACCTAAATTGTTACTTTTGATTTGTTTTATCATTCGCCGTTAAAAACTTTAATTTTGGTTTCATTTTAGTACCCCATTCAAAATATAAAGTTACGTTTCGAAAAAAATTGAAAATTTAGGTAATAAAACGGACCAAACCTGATAGTTTAGGTACTAAGCGCCTTAAGTTTTTAATGGAGGGATAGTAAAATGAAATGAGAACTAAACGTTGGGAATGGTTCTGCAAAAATTGAAAGTTTAGATACTAAAACGAATCAAAACTGATAGTTTAAGTACTAAATACGTAGTTTACTCTTTTTTAAGAAATTCGTCGGATGTTATCAGAAATATTTTTTGTGGAATCACATAATTTTTTAACACAATTTTGATATGTATGACATGAATTTGGCTTTTGAGATAGCCAATGGCGAATCTAGAAATTTAATAATAAGACTTAAAATTTTAATTTTTTATTAAAAATAATGTGTATATAAATGTTTTAATCTTTTTAGTTTTTCCTTAATGCATTAAGTTAAATTTAACTATTTTCCCAAATAATGATGATGCACTCCGCCCCTGGAGATAACTAGTAGGTTAGATTAGGGATGTGCATGAATCTGATTTCGACTGACCCGACCCAACTGAATAATATACTCCTTCACCTATTAGTTATTTCAGGTTTGGAGAGGTTCCATCCTACACAAATTTGATCTGGTTTTTGAGATGAAAACACACACTCACATTCGACCCAACCTGACACATACATATAATTTTTTTATTGGGTAAAATAGAGTTCTAATTAAAAAAACATAAAAATATATATTATTACAATTATCCCTAAATATGTAAGGAATAATTTCGGGTCGGATACAAATATTTTCATCTTAAACCGTATCCGAATTCACACGAACAACAAAGGTAGAGATGTTTACCGAAACCAATTGGACTCCCGGAAGGATGAAGATAGGTAAATTTATCATCGGTTAGATTCTTGTTGAGTTGATCTAGCAGTTGCCTGAATCTATCATTGAAACTGGCTACATCCCTGTTAATTTTTGCTACACAAACTGCTCCATCGGTTCCGAACATCGATACCGCATACGGAGTGTAACCGATCAGCCCTAACCCGTGCACAAAAAACTTCCTCGCATTATATGATAACCGATAAGTCCGTACAGAGTCTGATATCGTATGTCAAAGTTCGTAAATAAAACATCGTTAGACTATTTCGAGACATTACACGACTAATCAAAGTTTAACTTGAAAAATAGATTTTCGAATTTAGCCGATGTTTTCCAGTTTCGCCACGAATGCCCGCGGAACCGGACGCGTAGTTGACACTGTGAGAATGTTCTTCCCTTCCGATTCGGCGAAAGGTGGCATATAATCTTCGAACCCCAAAAACTTAACTATCATCATATATGTTACAAGCTAAATATCGATGAGCAATCATGAACAATACTTTGAAAATATATGGACGAGTCGAGAAAAGATCATACAGATAAAATCATGCATGGTTCGACCATCGGTAAACCTTCCGGTTGGTCCTCGGGAAAAATCAATCCCGTAAGGTGGATAGTTTACTTCGGCCGACGTTGCAAGGTTATTACTGTTCCCATTATCTAATAACGAGTCCTCGAATATAAAGTAGCATGGCACTTTTGGACTTGCATTCGCCCCGTTTCTCGAGTTCGACAATGCTAACAACATTGAAATCGCCACCAGCTCCCATGGCTCAAAACTTAAGTTTTGATTCCATGGAAGATGAAGAACCAAAGAAATCAATGATAACAAGTAAGAAGATTATGTGAGAAGGGGGTTGAATTTTTGTGATAATTAACAAAGTGGGGAAACTATATATATGGATCCACCACGAGAAAAAAAAAAAAGACTTTAACCACCAAATTTCTAATTTTACACGTAAACGATATGCTAAACGGTCGGTATACGTCTTTCGATTGACCTTCATTTTGAGTCCCTAAACTATGATCTCATTCTTATATTAATTCTAAAACTTAAAAATGTTCTATATCAGTCCTTAACATGTGCTAGTACCGTTCCATTTTGATCGAGCAGTGGCTTGAATCTATTATTGAAACTGGTTGCACCCTTGTTTAATTTTTCTACACAAATCGATCCATTGGTTCGAAACACCGATATCGAGTACAGAGTGCAACTGATCAGCATACAAAAAACTTCCTTGCACCATTATCGTACATAGTCTGATATCATATATTGAAGTCATTTAAAGTAATCGGTAAATAAAACTTTGGTTTGAAATAATTGTTGATGCGGTCATTGCTTCCAACTTGAATCAAATAAATGCATTGTCTTGGAAGTAATTTTATCGTCGAATCATTTCATCTAGACGTTGTAATTCTTGAGATTATAGTTTTGCGATATTCGTCGAACGGTATTCGGGCATCCTGCGCAACACATCATAACTCGTGTATGATAACGACATTATCCATTGTTGTCAAAGTATAACATGAAACACGAGTTTCAAAATTTTACCTAAACTTGTCCGCATTTGTAAATGACTAATCAAAGTCTAACATGAAACAATTTTTTTTTATAAATATAAAATCTTGCATGGTTCGACCATTGCTGAACCTTTCGGTTGTGGGTGTTCAAACTTCGGTTAAAACCGATTTAATCGAGCCAGCTGAAGTTTTTTCGGTTAACCTGTCAGTTAATTTTAGGTTGGGTCAATTAACAGTTAATGATTTTTTCAAACTTCGATTATCGGTTAATTCGGTCCGAAATTAACCGTAATTGTTAAAAAATTAATACTAGCTATATATATATATAATTTATATATTAGAGTGTTTAAACTTCAATGTTAACCGAATTAACCTAAAATATAAACTATTTAATATATAATATATATTATCTATATATTTCGATTAATTCGGTTAACTGACCGATTAATCGAACTTTGTTCGATTTGGTCAATTATTTTTGAAAAAAATTATGTTCGATTAATGGGTAAAGGGAAAAAAATCAGTTAATAGAATTTCGAAAATTCAGTTCGGTCGATTAATCGAACCGACCGATGGAACACCCCTACTTCCGATTGGTCCTTGAGGAAAATCATTCTCATAAGGTGGATAATTTACTTTGGCCGACATCTCGAGTTTATTATTGTTCCCGTTATCTGATAACGAGACACCGAATATAGTATGGCACTTGGGAACTTGCATTTACCTAGTTTTGCAAGTTCAGCACGGCTAACATTGATTCCACAAAGGATAAACAACAGTAGCGGATCCATGAATATTTTCGAGAGTGGGCACACACACATTAATGATTAAAAATTTTCATATGGGTTTGATACAAATAAAATTTCAGGGTCGGCACAAACAATAAAATAAACCACTAATATAAAAAGAAATCGGATTCTAGAGTGAGAACCGATAGTTTATCATTTTATGGTAAAACTAAACGACTATAATTACAATTAATCATTACACAGTGCATTCTAACCGATAACCAAAATGTATTCAGACCTAGACCACAAGACCAACATATAGAAAGACTTACACAAGTTTAGAGAAAACTCAGACATGATTTACACAGGATTAAATTCGAATATCGAATCTTAAAATTCCTACGACCATAATCTTATCATTAAACTAAAACATCATCGGTAATTTATGAAAGAATGTTAAACCGAACTCCGAATTAAGATTATATCAGAGCATCGCTAATTTATGAATGTTGAATGGAGAAGCACAATGAGTGTTGTTGGAGCTATAGGCATTTTGGGCCATGATCTCCATTTGACACTCCGTAATATGGACACCATCCCAAAATATGTGCTTCTTTGAGTCACTACATGGCTTCGAATTCCGAACGCATAGTTCTCCGGCGCCGCCTCCGGTTTTGCAGCATGCACCCATTTTCACTAAATGCACACACAACACCTTAATTAATTTTTCGATAGCGTCATAGTGTTCGATCCGTGAACGAGTCTAATTGTAACGATTATACGAGAGGCAAAACAAGGGCTGTTTACCGATTTCCTCGATATCAACCGGAGCTCCGGGCGGATTAAGATAGGTAAATTTAGCTTTGATTAGACTTTTGTTAAGTTCACGGATGAGTTGTTGGAGTTTTTCATTGAAAAGGACTGCAGCCTGGTTCAGGATGTCTACACAAGGTGGCCCATTGGTTCCATACAGCGAAATCGCATTCGGGGTGCAACCGATCGGCGGTACTCCGAACACGGCGAACTTCCTCGCACCATTATCGTACAAAATCTGATAGTATATTGAAATTAGACCCAAAAAACGAGTCGATAAATCGAAAAAGAAAAGAAAAACATTGGTAACTACCATAAGTTGTCGCGAAAGTTCACTCCATTAAGCATTTCTCTTCCTTTTCCCATTGCTTGGACTAGCGTTGATTCCTCGCTAACGCAAGAGGATTTTACAAAAAAAAATATATACGAATTTTATAGTTTATTTTCTTACGTGAGATTAATAATTTATCATTAAGATGTGGGGTGTAATATTTTCTAGGTAAACTACAAAGTTGATCACTTTTGTTTCAGTTTTATAAATGTATGGTCACTCTATTTAAAAAAAATTAATTCGTAGTCACTTTCATTTCATTTTAATTAAGATTTGGTCACTTTTGTTTCGTTTTAATTAATATGTGATCACTTACCCTAAACGGCTGTTAAAGATTTAACGATTTGATGATGTGGCACGTTAATAAAATGGTTTAATTTTTGTTTTAGCCCTTGAACTTTAGATAAAATTTAATCATGGATTTTTTTGTAAATCTAAAGCAATTTAGGGACAAGTTTGCAATTGTCCATTTTTTTAATATGTTTTCTCTTCTTAATTCCCCATTACACCGCACACCCCATCCCTAATTCGACGACGAAACAGGGGTGACGATTTGATTTTCCCCTTTCCCTGTGGATTATCCTTACATGAGAACCTCCTCCGTGAAGATGAGCAAGACAATGACCCCTAATATGGGCTTCTTTGATTAATCATACATACTCATTTCAAAAAATAAATAAATAAAATAATGGTTCAATTAAGGATTAAATTAAAAATTGAAAAGTAATAAATGAAAGTATAAAGGTCAAATCGAAAAGAATACGAAAGATAAATTAAAAGTTTAAGGACTAACTTGTAAACTTTTCAAAAAAAGAAGAAGAAGATGAGGAAATGCTGCATGTCAAATTTTCACCCAAATTTTTTAAGCAATTGAGGAACTCGAACCTAGTTCTATAATTCCTAAGTGACTATCTACCGTCTTAGTAACTTTCACCATAGTATCAAGGTTTGGTAAGTGAACCGTAAACCCTAATTCAAGATTTTAGTCATGATGAGGCGAGTACATTTTGTGTATTCAGACAATATGTCCCGACAAGCAGTGACGGATTCAAAAATTTAAGAATGAAGGTCCAAAATTCTAATATTATTTTCTTACAAATAATGAGTATTTAAAATTTCCCCTTTTATACTTATTATATTAAACTAAATTTAATAATTTTTTCTAAACTAATATGGAGCACTTGACCCCGTGCGGGTCTTAGTGCATCCGCCCCTGTGCGGATGAGGGGGAGAGATATAATTTGTATCGTATTGATACTTGATAAGGAGAGGAGATTCGAGTATCCATATATAACTAATAATGAGTATCGTATTGATACTTGATAAGGAGCGAAATAAACAATGATCATCCAACACAAAAACAAAGATCACCCTATATTCCAATTCCTAGAAAGAGTAATATTAACATTGTCATTAAAATTGAATTTCCTATTGCTTAAGTGCAGTCCAATTATATCTCTGATTGTATGGAATAATTCTTGAGCATTCTTGGATCTACCTTGGAACATTCGTTTGTTTATTTCATCCCATAGTAAGTAAATAGTAGCATTAAAAGATAACTTCAGAATAAGAGTGAGCATTGATTTGCCTTTCTAAGCATTGGAAGCCCTTGCACAAAAAGCGTCCCACGGGCAAGGGAAGAAGTGAAGTCCCGAGAGAGAAAAAACATTTTTCCAGATTGAATTAGCCATAGGACAGAGCAGAAAAAATATGGTCCCTAGTTTCCAAAGGCTGATCACATAAAATACATTTGCAGTCCCATACGATTTAGTCTTTCTCTTGTAGGAAGCCTATCAAGCAAAGTCATCCAAGAGATTAAACTATGCTTAGGAATGTGCATAGGAAACCAAACAATTTTCTGCCAAGGAACAATAGCTTTCTTGACTCTAATGGCATCCCAAACTGTTGTAATTGTTGTATTTCCAGCGTCCAGAACAGGACGAGCTTCATGTCTTAATTTTAGGAGTTTCCATAAACCCCAACTTTGCGATGAACGGATGTCAACATTCATGTCTTAATTTTTTTTTCAAAATTACCTAAAGCTTAGTTTTTGTTTCATTTTAGTACCCGCCGCTAAAAACTTTCATTTTTGTTTTGATTTAGTACCTCCGTTCAAGATTTCATGTTAAGTTTTGAAAAACAAAATAAAAGTTTAGGTATTAAAACGGACCAAAACTGATAGTTTAGGTACTAAACATGTTAATTTTTTAATGGCAATATATTAAAATGAAATGAAAATTAAACGTTAGGTATGATTTTAAAAAAATTGAAAGTTTAGGTATTAAAAGACTCACAGTTTTGTTATTCAAAACTGTCATCAAACTTCGAAGGCTATGATG